CCTTTCCAGCAGGATTGTGAACCATTAATAACTACTCTCTGAGTATGGTTATCCAGCCAGTTATGCTGCACCCACCTTATAATAGCCCCATCTAAGTTGTATTTGCCTAGTTTATTGATAAGAATATCATGCGAGACCGTATCAAACACCTTACTAAAGTCTAGGTATACCACATCCACTGCTTCTCCCTTATCCATAAGACTCATTCTCCTATCAATGAAAGCTATCAGATGGGTTTGACATGATTTATTCTTTACAAATCCAAGCTGGCTGTTCCCTATCAGCTTTCCCCCTTCCCAGTGTTTACCGATGATTTCCTTAATTACTTGCTCTATTATCTTCCCTGGCACAGAAGTTAAACTGACTGGTCTGTAGTTTCCTGACTTGTTCTTATTTCCCTTTTTATAAATGGGCACTATATTTGCCCTTTTCCAGTCTTCTGGAATCTCTCCTGTCTCCCATGATTTTCCAAAGATGATAGCTAGAGGCTCAGATACCTCCTCTATCAGCTCCTTGAGTATTCTAGGATGCATCTCATCAGGCCCTGGTGACTTGCAGGCATCTAACTTTTCTAGGTGATTTTTAACTTGTTCTTTTTAATTTTATCTTCTAAACCTACCCCCTTCCCACTAGCATTCCTTCAGACTTCTCGGTGAAGACCGAAATAAAGAAGTTATTAAGCATCTCTGCCATTTCCAAGTTTCCTGTTACTGTTTCTCCCTCCTCACTGACCAGTGGGCCTACCCTGTCCTTGGTCTTCCTCTTGCTTCTAATGTATTTATAAAAAGTCTTCGTTTCCCTTTATTCCCGTAGCTAGTTTGAGCTCATTTTGTGCCTTTGCCTTTCTAATCTTGCCCCTGCATTCCTGTGTTGTTTGTCTAATTCATGCTTTGTAATTTATCCTACTTTCCATTTTTTATAGGACTCCTTTTTTATGTTTAGATCATGCAAGATCCCGTGGTTAAGCCAAGGCTGTCTTTTGCCATATTTTTTATCTTTCCGACGCAGCAGAATAGCTTGCTTTTGGGCCCTTAACAATGTCCCTTTGAAAAACTGCCAAATCTCCTCAGTTGTTTTTCCCCTCAGTCTTGATTCCCATGGGACCTTACCTATCAGCCCTCTGAGCTTACCAAAATCCGCCTTCCCGAAATCCATTGTCTCTATTTTGCTGTTCTCCCTTCTACTCTTCCTTAGAATTGTGAACTCTATGATTTCATGATCACTTTCATCCAAGCTGCCTTCCACTTTCAAATTCTCAACCAGTTCCTCCCTATTTGTTAGGATCAAATCTAGAACAGCTTCCCTCCGGGAACATTCTGAACATTCTAGATTACAAGCTGTCTAAAAGAGTCATTTAATTGGTATTAGGCTCTAAAGGAGACCTTGTAAACATGATGTGATATGGAAAAAATAAAGTTTGTAATATATTGCTGCAAGAGGGTGCTGTGCTGAATGAAGAGAAAGAAGGGCTGTTATGTTTGAATAAAACTATTCACATGCACAAACCTGTATGAAGCAAACTCCTGATATGACCCTGCAGATCTGTGCACCTGCAAAATCTGCCCTTCTGTGTCTTCATTACAAATTATTTCCAATGGCCTAGTTCCTTTAGTTTACCCAACAAGCTGGCTTTATGGGAGCAGATAAAACAAGGTATCCATTTCTTACTGTAGGATGCAAGAGAGATTACATGCCAAAACTTGACACATCTCACACCAATCAGTGTGAAACTTGGCCAACTTGCTACCATGATTTGAAGTTTTCCAGATCTATGTTTACTGGATAACAACAGATCAGCTTTAAGTATCCAAAATGGTTGGTGTTGATAAAGCTCCCCTGGGTTGTTTCTGATAGTGAAACAACAACAACAAAATATTAAAACAGAGATCAAGGGCAGCAAATTGCCCAGGGAAATGACTCAAAAAAGTCTCTGAGCTCGATTAATCAGTTTTATCCCTTTCAAAGAAAAAACCTTATTTTTAACATTCAGCATTCACAACATTCTTCTCTCCCACAAAAGCCCTGGTTGTTATATTGCACTTTCTTCTGAGCTGCCTTACCCGCAAGAAGAAAGGAAATTTCCGGCCATAAAAACCAACTCTGAAAAACTCAGGTTCCAAGCGCTGCTGTTCCATGATGTTATCATAATAGGTAGCTTCCATTTTCTGGGGATGGAAAAAACAGTTGATATCCAACCTAAAGTTCCTGTTTCTGGTTCAGAATCTCAATCTACATTAGAACCTCATAATAATACTTTACATACTGCCTGCTATATTAGGAACACTTAAACTTTATCATAATTAAAGAAAACTTCTGGGAAATGGGTGAATTTAATTATCCCCATTTTGCCTTTTTTGGAGTTACTTGTATAATTTGCGAAATTGCCCAGGGTTTCAGAATTGGTTGGTGACAAAAATGGGATTAAAATCTAGATCTCCTGAATCCCAGTTTCCTGTTTTAAGCATATTGTTTCCCACACCTTATCAATGCAGAAAAGTGCATGAAAGAGCAGGAAGGGAAATTGGACTAGATTATCTGGAATTCTGGACATCCATACGTTTAACAAGAAGATGGAAAAAATGATTTGTAGGAAGGAAAGGGTATTTTTCTACTAATAGCAAGCTGGCCTATGCCAAAAGCATGCTCATGGACCCCACTGTCCAAGTGAGCCACATGCAACTCAAAACTCAAAAAGGCTCACGCCAAGTTCACTATTAATAATAGAGAGAAGAATCCATTTTGGAATCCCGGCCTCCAGTGTAGGGGAACATAATCCAGCGTTGACCCAGTCACTGAACTCGTGAGTCAAAGTTCTGCATACATTAACCCTTCTTCTGAAAAAGGGGCTTTAGCCTCCAAAGATTATAGGTGGAATAAATGAACAGACTAAATGATGTGGAAATAAAAGGGTGAGACACACAAACTGGGGGTGGGGAGGGAAAGTTGATGGATTGAAACTCAAAGAAATTCATGGCTAACACAGATTTAAGAAACCTGAACAGAAAACTGACTTTTTTAAACAGAAGAGTTGAGCATAAAAATAAAGTGAATGGCTGTTACCTAGCAGTCAAGATTTTTTCCCCCTGACTGATTAAATTCAAACAATGAAGAAACAGCAATAATAACTAATTTACTGATGTAGTTTTAGGATAATGATCCAATACTGAATTGAGCTTCACCAATTACAAAACACATGGAACTTTATATTTTGGAGTAATACTTAATATTTTATGGAAGCAAACCAGAATGGATGAATCACAGCATTTAAAATCCTTCTTGATGCCTTGGTTAAGATTTTCCAATAAAAGCAGTGACGACAAAAATTCAATTTGACTTAATTATTTGCTTTTATGAGAGACTCTACATGATCGGCAGGAATGTCATAAACTTCACTGTGCTCTGAATTCTATTTATCTCTCTACATCTTCTCATAAGCCTACTCATGTTACTCTTGCTGCCCTTAGAGCACATTTAATATAAAACCACAGCTGATCAGTCCCTGAGGGGAGACCAATCAGGTCCCCAAAAAGAAAATATAGAATAAACTGTAATGCAGTAATACAAATGTACATGTATGTATTTGTGCTTGTGAGCACAGTTCATATTTAACTGTTGTCCATATATTCATTGGTATTTACAGCTGGCAGGATCAGCACTTACTTCAATGAGCTGACAAGGGAGAGTTATGCCTGCTTGTTAAGAAAGGTTGCATGAACAGATCTCTCATCTCGGCCGATGGGGAAATGGCACTCAAAAAGGAGCCATCCTAACTATGTGAGAACGGCAGGCTTGTTTTTTATTTCAGATTTCTCTGACATTCCAGCAGTAATCATTAGGGGATGGATAAAAAGTTTAGAGGGAGAAGAGCTAGTTTCACTTACCCGAATCCAGCTGAGGCTCTGATAATCATACAGACTCTCATATTGAATGGCCAGCTCTCTGCATATTGGTATTCCAAACTCCCAGCTCTACAAAAGCAAACCAGACTCAGACCAACTGGGATTCTCAGCCACAACTAATGCTCTTAACAGTTACGAATAGGGAGATGTGTTTTGGGGGGAATTCATTAGAGATTAAAACCAAAGAAGCAAACAGTTGAAAACACAATGCAATACAGCCTTTTATATTGGACATCATATAAATGTTAGATTCAAGATATTCAAACCAGAGACAGAAATGCTTTCCTATACCTTATCAAATTGGTGCTAACAGATGCCTAGGTTTCCATGAGTTGTACATCATTCTTAATTCACTAATCAGATCAAGAACTTCTTCAAAGAAAGATACAAGAGATAATGAATATTCTGGCTGTAAGAAAAAGCTCTGCATAGCTACTCGGTCTAAACCTTCATGGATGATTTGTCCCTATGGGTGCTCCACTATAGGATTTGTGCATACCTGTGCGCTTTTCACTGAAAACTTTTACTAGCAACTTCGGTAGGTCCGTACCTATGCACTATACACTTTGTGCTCCAGGATCAGGGCATCTAGGAAGGGGCAGACCCACTGCCTCTACACTATCTTCTCAATCACGAAGGCTCTGCAGCAGAGAGGAGGGGAGGATGAGAGGTGGAACACCCATAGGGACAATCCATCTCAAAGAACTTAGGTTACTATATAGGTAAGTAACCTCTCCTTCTTGTTCCAGTTATTGTTCTTATGGGGTCTCCACTGTAGATTTCCAAGCCTTAAGGTTCTCCTAAATGTCTCCTGTACCATTTCTGCTCCCTCACCCTCAATCCCGTGGAACAGGGAAGCTGACAGCCTCCGTGGGCCCCTGGGCAAAGCATGGGAGGGGGCTGCTCTGTGCTCCCAGGAGGGATGGGGCTGGAGACAGCCAGTCCTCAGTGCTGCCTGGAGCACACTGCTCCGCCCCATCCCTCAGAGCTGCACAGAGTGTACCAGTGGCAATTGGAAGGGCTGGGGCTGCTACTGCAGCGGTGGCCAGGAATCCCAAGGGTCCAGGACAACTGCTTCCATTGTCCCCCCTCCACCTCCATTGGCAGGCCTGACATGAAAGACCTCTTTGTAATCCAACATGACTGATTTTGCAAACATGTCTATAGCAAGAGAACACTGGAAGCACTTATGGTCAGTTTCTTTTCAGTTCTCAAATAGATGATACATTATATTCAGGATTACAAATCATTGTCAGGTAAGCAACAGAAATAAAATATTAATCGTCACAAAACTGAGGGATGCAAAATCTTTTATTTGAAAAAGTTCAAAACTTGATAAGCGAGATCTTGGGAAAGTTTAGAAGAGAAAACCTAAATTCAAGAATTACAAAAGCAAAAATAACCATCCTAAATTTCTCCAGCTTTTGCGAATGGCAAAAATGAATATAAGATTCTTTGCATCAGCTTTTTCAGAATCTATTTTGGCTGTTCTGGTAATATTGATAGCTTTCAATGATGAAAACTGTTTGCACTGAGAACATGAGTTATATTTAGATAGTCAATAGCACAACAGGAAACCAGCTGGATGACCAGTTGCTTGGGTGCTCAGCATCTCTCAGGCTTGACGATCTTATATCAATAGCATCTTTGCTGTGTGTTTCCAATTCAAATGGAATAGGAACTCATGCATTCTTACAGGCCAAACATTTCCCTTTCAAATACATGCTTAAGCATCTATATTTGCAATCCAAATGACATTTCCTTTTTTATTTATCACACATATTTTAACTTTAATGTATGGACCCTTTGCCCTCTTATATATTTCAGATTTATCTAAAAGAGTGGAATAGAAAAATGAATTCTAAAGCAGTTTGAAAGGAGCAAGAGTCGTTTTCTCACTTCAGAGATGCAGAGAACCAACAGAGATGTTACGACCAAAGCTTATATGAATGTTTAATGTCTACTTGTAGACAGAGGACACTGAAAAAATGGAAGCTATTCCTTTGACCTGACCCTATAGATATCTTTCCCTCCAGCTTTCATGTTCCTTTTTTCCTTGTGATCAGAATGCTATTGTAATTTTATCTCAGTTTTTATTATTTCTACCAGCTCTATCAAATGTTCTTTGATGTTGCACATATCAGAAATCAAGCGCTTGCTCTCAGTCTCTCTCTCGGTTATATTTCAATACAGAGACATTTTTCTGCATGAGGTGAACATTTTGTAGCTACACACTGAGATGCCAGGGAGGAAAAATCCAGGATCTGACCTCCTTCTCCATCTTTTATAGAAGAGAGAATGGGAGAGGGAGAATGTAGATTTGAAAAGGATCAAGAGAGAAAAAACAGACAACTGAATTGTGATGCTGTAGTTCTACTGAAGGATTCGGGCAAAATCAAACATGAAAATGACCCTCGAAACACTGGATCCCCTTGATTAAGATCTATGACTTAAATGAGACTCATCTGTAATTTTATATAGATCTGAGTTCTAGCTGTAGAACAGAAAGTGCTTATAAGCAAGGGGAAAAAACCATGAAGTGATGGGGCTCTGCTGCTAAAACCAACTTAAACCTTAAATATGGCTTTCCAGAATGAAGGTTACATTGCTGACCCTAGATAACATACCAATTACCTGCAGCTCAGAGAAGAACAAGAAAGACAGAGAAAAGGACAAAAAATATCTGGAAGCAAGAAGCTGGTCACTTTACTGAATTCCCTTCTTCTTCCTGCATCTTCTATCCAATTTCTAAATCAGGTGGACTGATGAAGCTGCTGACGTTCACAGTGTTCTTTCTAAAGTGTCTCTCTTTGTAGAAAGCTCTGACAACTCCCATTTATATGTATTGTGATTTCATACGTGAAAATGAAACACAAGGAGTTGTATAAGACAAACCAGTGACTACAACCTGCGCAGATGTTAAAGTGGCTTTAAGCCTCCTTTGTGCCTTCCTCTAAGGGTTCAAGTGGCCCCTGACATAACTTAGTCATTGGCCCTGCCATGAAACATCCTACCTGCCCTGGTATGCCCTTCTTGCCAATGGTTGCCAGGGGATCCTCAGAAAAGTGGCATAGCTGCTTCATCCTTAAAGTTTCTGTGCTGGAGGAATTCTCCTCTGGCTGTATTCAGGGGTCTTAGATCCCCCTTCATGCTGCTGTGGCCTTTTCACCAGTGTTACCAGAGGCTAGAACAGGGTGAGAAATCTCACCCCTAGAATGCCCTAAGGAAAACCTAAAAAAGGACAGACTGAATAAACTACAGCAAGCAGCACTACAGCAGCCAAGGGTTGCAGAGGCAGAGAAAAGCCTCTTCTGGCAGCCCAGAAAAAAAGAGCTAACAGAAATTGCAGCAAAATTCTGCTATTTCCTAACTTGTGTCAAGCTACACAGCAATAGAAACACCCGCTGAATAATGCCAAAGGATTTTGTTGCACAAGGCATTTCAGTTTTACTCCTGTATCTAGCAAAACTGAGCTATATATGCAGGACAAAAAACCTGTTTTGGGAGACTAATTCAGTGATTCAGTTACTGTCGAGTAATAGGAGGCAAACATACAGCAGACAACTCCATAAATATCCATCTGGAAAAACACTAGAAGCACAATAGTGCAAGAACCAGTAGCACTTTTTTAATATTGTTTCATAAAATTAGTAAATGGTCAAACTAGGCCTTACTAATCTTTAATATTTACAGAATACACTATTTTAGATAAATGCTCTCTGTATTCTTTGCCTAAGATAGTCCTGAGATACTAGCTGGAGTTCATAAATTTATAGGATGTAGTTGGCTAATACAGAGAATATCTGAAGCTGTATAGATGGGATCTAGTCAGTTTTACCGCACCAGAATGCTATCCAGAGAACAAAGTATTTATTTGTTAATGTAATTAATTCTTTGAAAATGCGCTACTCCCTTCCCCCAGTAAATTGAAGATAGAATTTTCCTATTATAGCTACATGCAGTATGTGTCTTTGCCAAAGTACAGCTAATGAAATATTAATCCCATTCTCTATACGGTGCAGAGGTATTTGTGCTGTATGCTGCAGCCACTGCCATCCTGGGCGAAAAAAATCTACAGCCATCAAAAATCCTTAAATCTCAGGGAATTCTACTAGTCTTGCCCCATGGAGCTAACACTCAGGAGTTTTTAAAGAATGTAGACAAGCAGATAATTTGGTCTTTAATTTTTACGAAGTGGTATAAATACCTTCTAAAACTCAGCTAATGAAACTGTTCTGAAGTATGGTAACATAAGGGATTGTAGCTCATATATTCCTACAGTCATTTTAAAATTTATCAACTGTGGGAGAGATAAGTCAAATAAGTGAAGACTGCAAGTTGCTGCATTTTTTTCTAAGCCTGTGAACCAATAATAGACAATTGGAATCCTGAACATCTGAGTAAAACAATAGCTGTGGTGGGCAGGATAAGTCTTTATTTTTCAGTACCACTTAAATTCTGCTGACCAATCATATTTAACCCTGCCGGTCAGAAACCAACCAAATCTTAACATTAATCACAATACATATAATTGGAAATGTTCAGAGCTTTCTACAAAGAGAGACTTTTTAGAAATGAAGCTACTGACATTTACAGAGTTCTTTATCAAACCAGAAGATTCAGATTTTGGATACAGCTTGCAAGAATTAGCTGGATTCTTTTCTCTGGGTTGAATTCACCTAGTTTAAATATATATCCCTGCTCATTCTCTCTTCTGCTCTCCAGCCTGTAATGCCATCTTAGCTAAAAGGAATCCCTCCTTGATGTTAGACTGGAAGGAGGCCTTACTGACATCAGGAAGCCGTTCAATACATTTTTTCATGTTGTTGAAGTGGTGGTATGTATATTTCGCCAACAATGCTGCGTAATTGGCTATTCTTATTTGGAGAAAGGCTGATGAGTACAATTTCCTACCACAGATACTGAGTGTTTTCCATTTCTTGTCAAAAGAAGTGGATTTATATTGCATCTGCCTACCTCTCTCAGAGACAAACAGTGAGTTCGGCATTGGGTGCGTAAATAGGAATGCAGCATCCTTGGAAGGTACGTAATACTTTCTATCTGATCTTTTTTAGGTCAGCGGAATAGACATTGGAGTATGCCATAGGATTTTCTAGGGATCTAAGATGACCTCATTTACTGGGGGTATGTCTACACTACCCCGCTAGTTCGAACTAGCGGGGTAGTGTAGACATACCCCAAGTGATTTTGATGAAAATGGTAGAAGCAAATTCACATGGGCATGGAATTTAGAGTAAGCTGCCTCAATAGTTTTACTACTCCACTCATTATTTTATTTCATTGTTATTTTCATAAGCTTTTCTGATACGGAGTCACCCCATAAGCAAGGAACAGCCAATTTATGGAGTATCGATTTTTAAAGCCCCAGATGAGTAAAAACATAGCACATGCCAGAGAAAGACCATGAGTATTTACATAACATTGCAGTTCTCATATCTATAATCTTCTCTCCAGAGACTTCAAATTCTATGCTAATTTAAACGAATTAAGCTTCTACATTACCCCGCTAGTTCGAACTAGCGGGGTAGTGTAGACATACCCTGGGAGAGCAATTTTCGCTGATGGCAAAGCATGCGGGATGTTGTTAAGTTTATGTTGGGACTCTGGCACCTCCACCAAGGAACTTTCTAGGGTATTCGCCACTCTCATATATAAATCCTGGAAGGACTTGAAATCATTGCCAGCAGTTGGTGGAGGAAGCATTATTGTCTCATCTGGAGAGGAGGACGAAATGTAGGATGGAGGTAACATGTCCTCCACTTGTGAATTGTTGAACTCCTCTATGTCATCATTGGTAACTTGTGACCCCTTTGGGAAGGAAGGCCTATACTCTTGTGTAGGTGGGGCTGGAAAAGGTACCATCTGAGGAGGCTGAACTTGTCCCTTGATCGCTGCAAACAGATCCCATCCCTGCCAGGGTTGTAGTAGTGGGATTGGAGGGAACCATGGGAATGGTTGCCACATTTGTGTTTGAGGCAGCTGCTGCTGTTGTTGTGCAGCTGGCTTAGGTGATGAGTGCCTAGGCGAGAAAGTGATCTCCTCATCGTCTTCGCTGTCACTCAAGAAAGGTGGCACCCAGCTGGTTGGGGTAGGTAGCCTACTTGTCCCCTGTAAGATTGGGGAGGTGTTGGTACTGAACAGAGGTGTTCCAGTTACCAACACTACCATGATATCCTGTTGTGTGGCCAACAGCTTTTGTGAGGAGAAGGTTGATACTGCTGGTGCCATGAGCTGTGGTTGTGCTATGGTGTGCACCCACACCATGGACAGTACCGGGGAGGTGTCCTCTGGCTTCATTGGTACTGGTTTGGATGGTGTAGGTACAGACGGTTCCGGGCGTCTCTTATCATCAGTATCATGTGGCTTCTTCAGAACCACGGGTGTTGGTATCAATGGCGCAGTTGCGGTTTTCCTTGGCTTGGAAGCTGGTACTGCAGGGCATGGATATTTAGTGGATACCGCCCCTCTGTTTTCTCCATTGTGAGGAGCTTGACCTGTAATTCTCTGGCTTTGAGAGATCTGGACAAGAACTTTTTGCAATGGTGACAGGTCTTCGGTGAATGATCCTGTCTGAGACATTGAATGCATTCGGCATGCCCGTCTGACACAGGTATGGACATGCGGCATGGTAGTCACGGCTTAAATTCTGGTGAACCTGGCATGGTTGAAAAACCTATTCTAATCATGAACTATGTAATATAAGCCAAACAAAGAAAAGAAGAAAAAGTATTTTTTTGTTTTGAAAAACTAACTACACGGAAGGGTAACTGGGAGAAACTATCTAATCAAACTACCCTAAACAAACTACTGTACTAATTTCAAATAATGCACAGAGCACTGCTGTGTTCCGACCAAACCAGGAAACAGTTGAGAAGTAACTGAGGGGTGGTTGGCGGCAAGCATGTGTCAGTACACTCGCTACAGTGCCTGTGCTCTCTGTGCTGAAAAGTTCCGGTTTCAAGGGGCATCAAGACACCTGAAGTGGAGCACCCACAGGGACACTCCTTGAGGAAGACGATTCAGATTTTGGATACAGCTTGCAAGAATTAGCTGGATTCTTTTTGCTGGGTCCAATTCACCTAGTTTAAATATATATCCCCGCTCATTCTCTCTGCTACTGTCCAGCTATCTGCTGTTTAGTCTGTGATGCTGAAGGGCCACTTGGCACAGCATTCATTTTTTAATTTACTATTTAATTGAAAGGTGGGTTGGGCAGGAAAAAAGCAAGTCAAGGAAATGAAGGGAAGATATTGGAAGGGAGCAGAGCTGGCATACCTTCCCTTTGTTGAAGTAGTGAATAATCTTCCGGCATAACCCCTCCTTTCGCTGCCACTCTGTCTGGGAGGGATAGTGCAGGAACTCTCGCAGAGGTCTGTCCTCCCACTGAAGCAGCTCACAGTACAGAAGCAATGTAAATGCAGCCTCTGTTAGAACAGCAATTAGTGAAGACTGAGTAAATTACTACAAATAAACACAATTAACAGGTTTGATTTGCACTTGGCTTTGTCAAGCAAATGAGGATCCAAAATTTAGCTACAGAATAACCCAGTCAACAACAAAGCATTTGAAAACCGAGATCCCCTTTCTGAAACATCAGAGAGATAGAAGTTACTCAGTCAGTGGACCAACTCCTTCATGCTGCATTACAAAAGTTACATGGCTCAAGGCATTCAGTGGAAAATGAATTGGACTCCATTTCTGTCACCTGGCCAAGGCATAGGGAGCGAACATGCTGGGTTTTTGCGTCTGCTGCCTAACTATAGCGCCAGTTAAACTTTCCTGGCTTTCTGATGAATGATCCCTGAAGTAGATAAAGCACCTTACTAATGCTCATACTTTGGCCTCCTGTATCATTTTCTGACTTTCTCCAAGTTTCCCAAAGATGTGTAGATGTATATAATCTAAAAATAAATTCTCATCTTTTCACTTAGATATCAACACAGCAACATATCAGACTGTGAATGCTTTTATAATTCATTTTTCCCAGGTGCTATCAGCTTTTCTTCCCCTCTTAGAAACATCTGAATAGAGTACATAACTAATATGTGAATTCTGTCAATACCTAATATTAGCAAAGGACTACCATTCTCAATGTCCCCTCAATACCCTTCTTCCTTGAAGTACTGTTTCAAAACCCACCTCTTCAACAAGTTTCTTAATTTACAGACTGGCCTGTTTCTTAAATGGTATCAAAGTAAGTAGATTAGCCATATGAAACGACAGAGCTTCTAACTCTTCTACCTGCAGTAGAACACTAGACGGAAGGGACCGCGAGAGATAATCTATTCCAGTCCCTTGCCCTCATGGCAGGACCCAGCACTATCTAGATTATCCCAGATAGATGTCTATCTAACCTGCTCTTAAATATTTCCAGTGATGGAGATTCCACAACCTCTCTAGGCAACTTATTCCAGTGTTTAACCACCCTGACAGTTAGGAACTTTTTCCTAATGTCTAACCTGAACCTCCCTTGCTGCAGTTTAAGACCATTGCTTCTTGTACTATCCTCAGAGGCCAAGGAGAATGCTTCTTCAGTAGCTTCTTCACAACATTTCCTAGAAAAGTATTTCATGAGACACAACACTTTGGGCCTGCATTCTAACAGCAGACTCTGAACAAAGCCTCCTCATTACTAACCAGTATAGTTCTCAGCCTGTAAGTGCATGTCACATAGCTTGTGGATATAGCGGATATACATCTCTTCCTTATTAATTTCAGATTTATAAAAGTTCTGAAAAAGAAATGAAAATTAATATTCAGAAACAATCTTCAGATACTTTGTCAGTGTAAAATAACCTCCTACTTCCAGGCAGCTCAAGGAAGCTGCACATAATACAAAGAAAGTGCATTAATAATATGAGAGATTGGGCCTAATACTGCATTCACTGAAACTGGTGTAAATGAGGAGTACTCCACTATCTTCAATGAAGGTATGCTGGACTTAACCTCAGTGTAGAGGAAAGAATTGGGCCCACTGTATCCATGCATATATGTATGAGTACAAGAAGAAAGTGAATACCCACAAATATGTATTCGTGATTCATTCCCTCTGCACTCTAAAAATACCTCTGCCAACTCTACAATCTACAGAACAGGAGATGTGAGAGGGGGAGTGTTTGTGCAGGAGGGGGTTAAAGAGGAGGAAGGGAAAGGGGTAAAATGCCTGTAGAACTGTTCTTTGCTAAGAGTCACACATCTGTTGTGCTCTCTTGTCTCCTATCTCAATGGAACCATTTTACCACTCACAGCTGTAAATTCAAAATGGAAAAACCCATACATATTCAGTTCCAGGATGCTGAGGGTCTTAACCACTTGCAGATTATCAAACCTAATTATTAAACCTAAACTTTTCTATTCCACAGGCATTATATAGGACAATGATGTACAGGTAAATCAGATAAAATAATCTTACCATCAGGTTAACAGTGCAACCAATCTTCTTGTTTTCTGTTTCATCTCCTTTCATGCAGTCCCTGAAAGGAGAAATACTACTGAGACTTTCAGACCACCAGACTAAAAGACAAAGTTGTTCTAGAACCAGAATTTTCTCTTGGATACCAAAACAATACTTGAGCCTAAACTTTATTTTTTACAGCGTCACTCAAAAAGGACCCCGTACACTGTAGGCCTAAAGAGTTAAGAAAAGTTAGTCCTCAAATGAGCTGTATTTGTAGTTAATTTATTGCTGTTAAAAGTTTCTGAATTGAGAGCCTTAGAGACTGAGACCTTCTATTCTCGCACACACTAGGTGCAGTGTGAGCAGCTGCAGTGCCAGGCTCCTCAAAATGCATTGACAATGCGCTACAGCCCTGATCTGTAAAGAGACGAATTCGATCTTCAGGGTTACACCTTGCCCTTTGCTCAGATGGTGTTGTTTATTGGCTCTTAGGCACTAGGAAATGGGCTGGGATCACGTCCTAAATTTAAAGACAACCCTTAACAAGCCTCAGAGGACTATGACCCATAATCACTTGAACTAAAGAACTACTATAGAAGAGAAAAGATCTGAATCCATCCAGTGCCCAGATTTAAATATTGCAGTAGTCTAAATTTCCAGCAGTTCTTGTTCAGGGCACAAGGGCAAACTGTTCCACTGCACAGGAAAGTTAGGAAGTATGACAAGAGACCACCCTGTAACCAGGAGATCTTGAATGATCTAAATCTAAAATAATTCCCTCCACTTTTGGCCGCGTTGCCCAGCTTCCCGTTGGTGGGTGTAGGGGATAGTCCCGATTCTCCCAGAAGTGGGGTGATGGTGGTGAAAGTTGACCGCTTCTGTGGGCATCAGATCCCTGCTAGTTCCCTGGGCTGCCCTGAGGCTCTGGCCCCTTGCCCTGCCACCCACGGCATTTAGGAGGCAATATACCCCCTCAGCCTTCCTCACGCATCACCCCTGCTTTGAAAAGTAGAGTTAATTAAAATAGAGATAATTAAAAATTATCCAGACAAACTGGAGAAATAGTCCGAGGTAAACAGGATGAAATTCAATAGGTACAAATGCAAAGTGCTCCACTTAGGAAGGAACAATCAGTTGCACTTATATGAAATAGGAAATGACTGTCTAGGAAGGAGTACTGCAGAAAGGGATCCAGGTGTCATAGTGGACCACAAGCTAAATATGAGTCAACAGTGTGACATTGCTGCAAAAAAAGCAAACATCGTTCAGGGATATGTTAACAGGAGTGCTTTAAGCAAGACATGAAAAGTAATTCTGCTTTTTTCTGCACTAATTAGGCCTTAACTAGAGTATTGTGACCAGTTCTGGGTGCCACATTTCAGGAAAGATGTGGAGAAACTGGAGACGGTCCAGAGAAGAGCAACAAACATGATTAAAGGTCTAGAAAACATGGGCTATGAAGGAAAATCAAAAGAGAAGACCAAGAGGGGACATGATAACAGCGTTCAAGTACCTAAAAAGGTTGTTACAATGGAAGGAGGGAGAAAAATTATTCTCCTTAGCTCCAAATAACAGGACAAGAACCAAGGGGCTTATATTGCAGCAAGGGAGGTTTAGGCTGGACAGCAGGAAAAACTTCCTACCTGTCAGGGTGGGTAAACACTGAAATAAGTTGCCTTGGGAAGTTGTGGAATCTCCATCACTGGAAATATTTAAGAGCAGGTTAGACAAACACCTATCAGGGATGGTCTAGAATGGTGCTTGGTTCTGTCATGAGTACAGGGGACAGGACATAATGACCTGTCATAGTTCCTTCTAGTTCTATTATTCTATGGCCTATTGCAGTATGTTGGTGCAACAAACTTTTGCTGTCGGACTAAGTTCAATTAAAAAAATGAAGATTGTTACTGAATTAAATATGAAAATTAATACTAGAATCAGTATAGTAGATCCTGTGCTGTTTTAGTCAATTCAATTAAAATAGATGTCCCATATTTTACATTTTCAGTCTCTCTCAGAGTTTTGTTTTGCTGAGTAACTATACTGCATAAGTTGTCAGGGAGAAACTGGAGTTTTTGTCATGTGGATGGAGACAACTAGGGCTTCTGGCACATGTGAATGGGAAATTATTTTAGATTGCCGAATAAAGCACATTAGCCAAACGTTCTGTTATAATACTCAGCAGCAAAACAACCAATTATTAGTTCAACTGTCATCTTTAAGTTCCAGAGATAACAGTCCGCTGAAAAGAATGGGACAGTTCATTACTGTTTCATTACATCTGTTTACTTTGTTTACACTTCCAAGATTTTCTTTACAACCGTTAAGGTTAGAAACTTTTTTCTAACATAAATGACAGCTGAGATCATGAACATTATGCTGGTATTGTGTGAGACTTTGCTGAATCAGGGCCAAATATTCTAAGAAGAGAGTCAAATTAGTTACTTCCTACAGTTCCGCAGTCCGCCTCAACATCAAGTTAGACTTTGATGTATTAGGGCCAAATATTCTAATAAGAAAGTCAAATTAGTAGCTTTCAATAGTTCTATAGTCCTTTAGTCTCATAATTAAGTAAACCAAACACCAGTTTTTCATTCTGACAAGTTATCAAGAATAAGTAGAATATGGTGCTCTCAATTTGTGCCCCAATGTGTGCATCTACTATCTCAATTCAGAACCTAACAGTACCGTGTAATGGTTGCTCTCACATTACTCCACAACACAGAATTACCTGCTTCAAAACCAACACAAAACATCTCTCTCTCTCCATATATATATATAAATTTATATAAAATGAATGTGGTGCATTTCTAATTCTGTACTCCCTTCTTGCAGAACACTAGGATACTTATACTCAGAATAGTTTACTGCTGTGATCAGGTACCTGTAGTCAAGGAGACGCTCCATGAGGCGAGTAACTGATGTAACAAAAGAGATGCCAGTCTCCCGCCATGTCTCTTGTTCAACCTTCTCGAGCAGGCTGTTTGGAAATGAAGAGGCAGCACATGAGGCTTTCCTGGAAATAGTATATATCCTGGAGAGATCCAGGGGCAACTTTGTTTCTCTCTCATACAAAAGACTGACAGAATGACAGTCTTACCTGGGGTAGGGCCCAAAGAGTTGGGTTCTACTCCATGCAGCATGAAGCAAAGACAAGAAAAAATGGAATTGGAAGCAAAAGATAAAATTTCCCATCACAATACTGCTTCAAACATAGGAAAGAGAATGCTGCACATAACAAATGTTGGTTCCCAAGCTGCTAATGATATAGCAATGGAAAGCTACCACTGGGAAGGAGCCTAAACCCACTGTAGCACATTTAATCTTCTCAGTTAAAAGACTGTTAACTTCTGGTCTCTAATGAGCAGTCCCAGTTCAACATCTTGCATCACAATTGTTATTGGAGATAACATCAGCTGAAGCAAGGGAAGCACAGAACACTGTTCTTGCTGTCAAGTATGGGTTCTCTTGGCCAGGCCTCCCAAGCATAGCCAGATCTACCTCAGCAACCTCACCAAGTCACATGGATAGCAACAAGGCTTATCTGCCAATAAAATGGAGTTTGTCAGAGTCCAGCACTCAACACCATATATGGGTATCACACCGCACCCTGACCACACCCATGCCATTCCCAGACCACAAACAATACTAAGTATGGTAATAGGCAATAACATAAAACCCCCTGAGCCCTAAGCTCGGGGGAAGGGGAGACTCCCGAATACTGGAAGACAGAATCTGAGTCTGGATTAGGACTGATCACCCAAAGGCTGCCTCCCACCCACCGAATTTAAAAAGGGGTGTACTAAAAGGGGTGTACGAATACTAATCTCGAGCATGCTCCGATTCCTTGTATATCTTTGTGTTGTTGTTGCTGAGTTTGTAAGTATTTAATTTACCCTCACTGATTGTTAAGTGGTTTAAAAGAGACAGGTTGGAAAATATATTGCTCAGTTATAACTTTTATCTTTGCTATTGTCAGTGTGTTTAAAGAAACAGTTTTTGAAATGTGTATATATTTGACTTAGCTGTAACTTCGAGTTTTAAAAATTGTTGTGGTTCAATTGTTTTGTGGCAAATATTGGGTAATTGCTCATTTTAAGTTGTTCAGTTTAATAAATCATTCCTTCTTTGTTAAAACTTGTTGTCTTGCCATCATTCGGTGTTTTCACTGGGTATTTGGCCTTAAGCTTCTGGGACTCCTGCCATTTTACCGAACCAAGAACCAACACTTGCCAGGTAAATGAAAAGAAAAACAAATTTTCCATTATTTTCTTTCCAAATAATTTGCCATTTTTGTGTCTACACGGATGAAGCCAAACTTCCAAAAAGTGGTTTCTGTTTGTGTGCACTCCAATACAAGTGTGTACATTCTAAATATTAACATGGGAGGGCACAAGTTATAGATTTACTCCCATACCCAAAATGATGGGTGTACATATGTAAATTCTATAATTTTCATGCAGAAGTATCAGGGCACCAAAAACGAATGTAGCCATTTGTATACATCAAGTTGCATGCACATAAATGGGGGCCAGGTTGAGATTCTTTTGAAAATTTGCCCAGAATTCTGTTAGGGCATGTCTACACAGCAGCATTATTTGGTGAGCAAGAGGACTTCTTACTCCGACTCCTGTAACCCTCATTTTATGAGGAGTAATGGAAGTCCAAGGGAGTGTTTAGACAGCCCCAAAAGCTGAGCTAAGCTATTTTGACTTAAACTACACAAATGACATAGCTCAAGTTGAGTAGCTTAATTCTTTTGCCATGCTGTGTAAATGTGCCCTTACTGATCTCAGACCAATCACTGGATCAATTAAAGAGTCAAGATTTAACTCAGTGGAGATCACCAACTGCCTTCAAACCTAGGTCAGCATCCATTTGAAAATCAGAGTTGGAGGTATTTCAGCACCCTAGACTTAACAATGTCAGAGGGTCATATCTTAGGATTTCAGGTTATCCTTTTATTATCATTATTGTTTCTTGGCTGGAAGGTACTACACTGCAACTCTATTTCAGGATACTGGAGTATCCTGAAATAGCTATCCCATGTCTTCACAGTAAGCCTGTTATTTTGGGCTTCCTATTCTGACGTCCCTGTAAATCTCATTCTATGAGGAGTAAGTTAAGTCAAAGGAGTGTTCTTCCTTTGACTTCCTGCTATGTAGACAGCGCCAAAAGTGGAATTAAGCTATTTTGAAATAGCAATGAAATAAGATACCCAATTTGCATAGCTCAAATTGCATATCTTATTTCGAGTTACGGTGCTGTGTAGATGCACCCTTAACATATGACCTTCAAGAGCAAGGTGAGCAAAGGGAGAAAATGGAGGGAGATCCTAGATGCTCCAAAACAGGATGGAACTGCTTGGTGGTTTAGCTGGCTGTCCGAACAGTCTGAAGAGTATGACTTCACACTCTGATGTCACAAAGCTGAGCACTGACTTGGCTAGCACCTCTGTGATAGGAATACGGACACCACTTGGCACACTGTATACTGTAATCCATGCAGCATCAATACTAGATTTTATTGCATGAATGATACAAAATACATTTTTATTTGTTGACTGTGTAAAAAGGATGGTGAGCTTTTTCATATCCCTCTCTCTGATTTGTGGCCCATGTCATGATAACCTGTTAGAAGTCCCCATTCATTACTGTGTACTGAGGGAGGCCACTTTCATTGCATGTACTTCACAATGGATCATTACTTTGAAATTTCACCAAGCCTTCTAAGGTGACCTTGTAACAATGCAAGATGGAGGGAGACTGGCATTGCTTACAGCAGGCTGAAGAGCTCCCTGTAATTCTCATCTCCTTTTCCTTCTGAAACCAAGCTGTCCAGCTTATCAATCAACTCAGCTTCCACCTGGATCATGGAGAAATTATGGGTTAGAAATGAACTGTGTTTGCATAGAAGGTAAATTTCAAACATCAAGAACATCTGAGATAGTATTTTATGGAAAATTTCTGATGCTCTGCAAGTTGCCTGATTTTATGCATGAATGATTTCTGCTCTGACATAAAAAAAAAAGCATCAGAAACAAAACAGACCCTTTTCAAATCTACCAAACAATGTCTCAGCTGATTCAGTGAAACAAATGGCCTCCTATGGGTGGAAGAGATGGACTACAGAGCTCAATTATCCCCTTGCTGAGCAGAGGAGTAAAATGGGCTTCCCTGTGGCGATAGGTGTTTTAGTTTCTTAGAGAAGTCCTTCTCATCTACTTTCTTTGTTTTATCAACACTGAGGTACGGACTTTCTATAAATGAATGTATGAAGTTGAATCTTACCTTGTCCTAACTGTCAGTAACATTTTGTTTACCATGCAGAGCCTGAGCACAGATCATAAAGCTTTTTGGACAATTCTCTCTACACTAGCCAATTAGCCCGTCAGAAGACGGGATTTTCAGATCTCTCCTCCACGTCGGTCTTCTCTCCTGAGCCTCCCGTCTCTCGCTCCATCGCTCTTTCTCTCTCCTTCTCCTATTACCTCCCTCCCTCTCTCTCTCAGCTCACCACCGCCTGCCTCTCTCTCTCTCTGTCTCTCTCTTCTTCTCCCCCTCCTGCCTCTCACTTGGGGGACCGCGGAGCCCAAACTTCTGTTTGGGCTCCATACTCCCCATGCTGCATGGGGAGCGCGGAGCCCAAATGGTCGCTTGCGCCACATGATCCCATGCGGCAGCCTGGCTGAGTGGTGCAGAAGTCAGCTGAGCGCCATGGCGGGAGGTGAAGGGGGGTGGGGTGTTGACATACACCGCCAGGCCCCACCCCCTGGCCATGTACGTCACCGCCCCGCCTCCCTTTCCCTCCTCTGTGGCGCTTGGCTGACTTCTGTGCCGCTCAGCCAGGTCACTGCGGGGGAGTAAGCGGCACAAGCAGCCATTTTGGCCCTGCACTCCCCATGCAGCACGGGCGGCCCAGAAGGAACAGCCAGCATTTCAGGCAACAGCGCCGCCCAGAGGGAACAGCCAGCATTTCGGCGTTACAGACTCTCAGACACTGGGCTACTATATATATATGATTACCTACCTTTCATAATGGTTGTTCTTTGAGATGTGTTGCTCATGTACATTCCATTCTAGATGTGTGCACACCTATGTGCACAGTTGTCAAGGGTCAGCTCTGGTGACCTTTGGAGAACCATGCTCACATGTCAGTATATTATATGACATTGGCCCTCCACCCTTCTCTTAGTTCCTCTTTGCTGGGAACTGCTGGGACAGAGGGGTAGGAGGGCAGATAATGAAATGTAGACAAGCAACACAAATCAAAGAACAATAGTTAGGAAAGGTAGGTAACCGTCTTTCTTCTTTGACAGGAAGGTAACTGAATACCAATGATCCAATCACCACTACATCACCCTTAAGGATTATCAAGCAAGAAAACTGCAAATGTAAACAAGGCCCCTTCTGATTATATGGCGCATTTTCCTTTCACTTTTGTGTAAAGGCGTACCTCTGCCACCATTCTGTTCTTTTACAAAATCAAATGGAACAGAACGGTGTTCTGTTCCAATTTCCTTCAATCTAGCATTATTTATCCCAATGAACAGTTTGATATTAATAGTGATGATCTGGGTTGCAGAACTCAGTTTCAGTTAATATTATTTAATTTTTTTTTCTTCCTAACCCTGCATAACCTCTAGTGGGTCAGTTGCGGAAAGAATCTTTTATTCTCCTGCAATCACAAGGATTTGAAAACTGAAATGACTTCTGGGTAACACACTAGCCACATGAAATTATGATTATTCCGTCTCCCTCCCCAGAAAAAAAAGGTTCAATCATTAACTAATCATATTTATTTTTGGCAAATGGAGCTTCTCTTTTACAGTAGTATTTGCTTTTGCTGTGCTCGTTGCTAAAAAAACATGACTCCAGAAAATAGACATCTTGATATCCAAGATTTATTTTCCCTTCCTGTCATACTTGCACAGTGTGTAATCCAAACAAGAGTTTTCTATCCATCTGTAGCAGCAAACTCCACTTTGACACATGACAACCAAGCTATTTGTTTTCATTTGTTTTTTATTTTATTATGACAAAAGCAATAAAATATTAACACACTACTTTGTATATTACTTTTTCAGGATCAGGTTAAAATTCAAAAACAATACCTAAAAATTCTGGCTTGCTGGGTGGCAAGCCCTCGTTCTCTAAGTATGCTGAGAGGAATGACCAAATTTCTATACACAGGAAGTGATTAACCCAAGGCCAAACAGAAAGCTAGCACCAGGGCCCAGGAGTAGGAGTCATCGCTTCTAGTAAACTACGGAAAACACTAGATAAACTACCTCATCACATAAGGTTTAGCAAGCTTCTATTGTTTTTCCCATTAGGAAGGAGAATCCACTTCCCCTTGCTCCCAGTGTAGTGAATGCAACACTTGTGTTCTGTATTCATAGGCAAAATGACTACTTGGAAAATACCTTATAGAAACGTCATATAATGGTGGGACTCTGGTAGCTGTGTGGTAAAGGATGTTAGTTTTTCTTTAAGATCCGTCTATCCACATTAACAGCTCCATCGCTTCAGAAACAAATTAGCCGTTGGAAACTCCATGCTGCTAGCACAGTATTATTACAGAAGCTCAGAACAACATAGAGAATCTTGCAAGCGCCTGGAAAATCATCTCACCTGTTTGAAGTTGCCATTTTTCCTCTGCTCCCAGTCCATCATGTCATGAAAGATGGGGATCATGATGTTGCGGACCTCTGTCTGGGGGACCAGCGTGACACCAAGAAAGGGGCCAATCATTCCCGGAATAAAGTGAATTTTATGTTCACCTGAGCAACACAAAGCAATTAACATTTAGTGAAAGCCTTCCTTCTGCATCATTCCTTGCTGTGAAGAAGATGAAGACACATACAACTTATCTCTGGATTAAGTCTAAAGAAGCAAACAGGTTCTTGCCCCAAATATAATCAGATCAATACTTTAGTTTCCCATATTCCATGGCAAAGTCTGCATGATTATTTTTACATTAATCAATCCTTACATTTAGCAGAAACTGAAGATCTTACAGGGACACTCATTCAAAATCTGCTCCACCTTTACATGCCAGCAGGCATTAATTCTGCCAGAAAGGACAGAGATTCCACTGCTGTTTTGGAGGCTCTGGGTCCTAAGAAGAAAGGGATCTTCTAAAAGAACTAGGACAACAACAGAATGTAATGGATCAGGTACAGGCCCAGTAGGCTTTTTTAGAGCACCTGAATCTTAGTGGTGTGAAATTGGCAATTGAACGATCAAAGACTATGATTTCGAATCAGTGTTAATCTCTAAGTAGCAGGTATCTACAGTATAGTTAGCAATCATTTCATTGTGTGCTTGCACTGTGAAACTTTAGCAAACAAAATAAAATAACCTGAAAAACACTGATAGGACAATATTGTTTTGAGATATCATTTTTCTCCAAAATTAGCTTTCAGATTAAACTGGGAATCCAGCATACACCTACTGTGGCAGACCAAAGGCAGCAGGCTGCAGGAGTTTGGTCCTATTGGGGTCCAGGAGGTGGGTAGGCAATAGCCCACCTACATCTAAATAACCCTCCCCCAGCCTACAGGGAGGATCCAAAGACACCTAGACAGCAACTGATTGCGGGGGACAAAGAAAAGAAAAACAGGGACGGGTGTGAAGGTCAAAGGGCTAAAACAAGCGAACTGGATGGGGACACCAAGCAGAGAACCTCGGATGGCGCCCACTGCCCCTCGAAGGTCCTGAGAGAGCCAGTGGACACCGCTCAGTGGAACTCTGCCCAGATGTGTGAACAGACGAAGGAAGAGAAATAGGCCCTACAGTCGCAGGCCCCTGTCTCAGCCAACCTCTGCTCCTTGGTCTTGTAAGATGGCAATTTACCAATTTGCCATCTTGGCCATAGCCAGGAGGAGGTTGACAAGGCAGTCCCATGACTTTGTGGGGCCACGGATGGGGTGTGTGTAAATTAATAGATGAGGGGAGAAGTGCAGCCAGAACCTCAACAAGACATTTGGGAGGAGCTGAAAGAGGGCCTATAACCTGGTGCACGTGAGATAAATGTGCGCCAGGATCTCCCTGACTCAACAAAAGGGGCAAGTGTCGGGACTGCTGGAGTTTGGTGGTGGGCAGGTATACGGGTAATTGGGTGTGTGGGTTTATGTGGGGTTAGGAACAGGCTGCCAGAGACTGCTGCTCGGCCATCAGGTCAAGCAGGCACTTGAAACCTAATGGAACACGTGCAGCCTAATGGAACACCCGCAGCCAGTGAAGGCTGCGGACGCACTATAAAAGCCTTCTCTTCAGGCAAGGCAGGGGAAGGAGAAGAAGGACAGACTAGAGAGGAAGAAGTACTGAATGGAGGCAAAAACTATAGGCTGCAAGCAGGAGGGTTTTTCTCCAAGACGCCAGGGAGGAGGTACTGAGGGAGCGGTTGGGGAAGTGGCCCAGGGAGGAGCCACTATTCATTGGGAATAAGGGCAAAAGCCCCACCAGTGGCTGGCACAGAGGGCCCTGGGCTGGAACCTGGAGCAAGTGGGTGAGACTGGGTTTCCCCCAACCCTCCCCATGCCGATAAGCCGCCAACAGAGGAAAAGGACCTTTGGATTGTGGAGGAGTTTTTCCTCCAAGCTAGCAACTGGCCTATGATGAAAATGGCTCATGAAGCGGGGTACCCTCACCTCTTAGAAAAGCAAGAGGCAGTGGTAGGGTCACCACGAGCCTCTGAGGCACACAAAAACCCACCAGGAAGCACAGGACCCGGGGGCACTGCCTGAGCTCCGCCACAGTACATATTGGAGATTTGCCTCTAATAAATTAATCAGCCTCTTAGATTAATTGCAATCCCAGAAGGGGTACGAAAAGAGAAATAAATAAATTAGGAAAAGCAGAAGAGAATGGTTTTGATTTAAAGAGAATGTAACATTAATCCTGAGGGTAGCATATGTCATTAACTGAGCATTATTAAAACTCATTCTTTTCTGTCACTGTGCATGTGAAGCATAAAGCAGACACTTTGGTATATTCCTCAAAATTGTGACCTGGATGATTACAATTTTGACATACTGGATTTTGTGTTTTTAGCCACATTTGACATTTGTTTAAGCCTGTTAACAATGTCATGAATAATGCTATTTGCTTTGCAGACATATAACGATAAGCAGAGTGTATTTCTAACAAAACTAATATAGTGAAGTCAATGTGATACATTCCTTGCCAATGTGATCTGGCATATGCCCATGGATGCTACACTGCACCCCTGCTCACTTCAACCAGAAGATGTTATTTAGATAAGAAATAAGCACAATTCATCGTTTTGTAGATTATAAAGTACAAAGGATCAACGTGATCATCTGGTCTAATCTTGTATTCAGCACAAGCCACAGAATTTCCCTGAATTAATTCCTGCTTGAACTAGACCATATCATTTAGTACAGCGTTTCCCAAATATGGGCCACGGCCCGGTACTGGACCGTGGGAAAAAAATACCAGGCCTCAGCATGCCTCGTGGCTGCCGGCAGGGCTGGTCTTAGGCCAATTCGGGCCCTGCGCCCTTGAACCTGGAAGTGCCGGCGAGTTACAGAGCCGGGGGCCCTGCTCCACCAATATGTGGAGCTGGGTCTCTCCCCTGGCTCTGCCTGGAGCGGACCCTGGCCCATCCCTGCCGTGCACAGCTCCTCTTTGCCGGCTGCTTCTGCCAATGTGCGGCGTTGCACGTGGGCAGGGAGGACGCCCGGGCATGACGTGATGTCACGGCCCAGGATTCTAAAACTCCTCGGAGGCACATTGAGGGGCTGCCCCCGGATTCTGGCTCTGGGGCCTGAGTGGGGACTCTGGCCCTGCAACGTGGAAGGCAGAAGGCAGGGAACGGGTTTGTGTGCAATGTGGAAGACAGAAAGTAGGGAACAGGCTTGGGCGGAGGCGAGAAGGCGGCAGCGGCAGTGGCGGGCTTGCACAGAGGGGGAGGAGTGGAAGGAGAAGGTGCTTGGGCAGGGGGAGGGGAAGGCACCAAGGGACAGGGTGCAGGAGAGAGAGACAAATGCCAGGGGGCCAAGTGCAGACAATGAGGGAAAGGGTAGAAGGAAAGAGGTCAGTGGGAGAGGGGACAGTGTGATGCTGGGAGAGGAGAGGGGAAAGGCATTGGGTTCTGGAGGAGGAGGTGCTGGGAGAAGGCTTGAAAGAAGGGGTGGGCATGAGAGAGGTGGGGATGGAGCAAGTCATGTATGAGGGCACAGAGGGGCAGGAGGGAAACAGGGCAGAGAGTGGTGGGGGGGGGGGCATCAGGGAAAAAGAGGGGGCAGGGGCAGTAAGGGGAGG